ATGTCCTTGAGTTTGCTATATTAAGTCAGTATCTTAGACTTTTTCAGGATGAAATACCATCTTGGCATGTACATGAACACCATCTCCTGGGTAAGCTCCAACAGAAGGCAGAGGTTACCTCTATTAATCCACATTTATAAAAACTGCATTACTCAATATGAGCATTCACCATTTAAAAACATACACACATTGCACATTCATCATGAGCCTACGCCCTTTAAAAACAATACAATACATATTGCACACTCCTTTGCACACTTTATACATACCTCAGGAGCCATATTTCACATATTGCATATGCACATACATATATACACATATTTTACACAGCTTCCCTATATAAAATACAAACTGCTCAAATGAAACTAACTGAGGTGTTGTAACTGTTGATTGTTGTACAGTAGGCTTGCCTGTACAATACGCCTTCATATTGCCAGGACAAAGGTAGCCAGTAGACTCAGCTAGCCTAGACAAGTGCCGACATTACCTTCAGTTCAACGTCAGAATGCGTTTTTGCATGTGGCAAGAACTGTGTATTTTGGACCAGTTGTCCTATTCCAACATATAAGGTATCTTTTCACATATTTATTACAACAACTCATTTGAAGTGGTAAAATAATGAATTGTTTGAAATAAGCTGGGACATGATCAGATGTCAATAAGGGATTATAGAGAGCAAACAATGACCAACAGAGGCAACAACAATACAACAGTGGACACAATGTCAAGGGGACAAGAGGGGGCTCTAGCTTCCTTGAAAGCCATCCACAAATGCAAAACTCCACAACACTTTTAAAAGAAGGAATACTGTCGATCATCTGGGCAACATCTCTCTTGACAACAGCATCACACAGCTTCCCGCTCTTCTCTTGAAGAATGAAAGCTACAAATCCTATGGCTGCTAGAGGTCTTTGTCACTTTTTGTTGGGCGCCTGCCTCATTCATTTGGTGCCTTCTCAGAAAAAGTGAAAACAAAACAGGGGCATTATTTCTTTAAATCTGTGAATCCCTTTCGTCACTCTCCATGCTCTGTCTACCCTCCTTTCACTCCATCTATGTTGCCAGTACTCTACAAGAGTAGAGTACAAGAGTACAAGAGTAGAGTACTGGTAGGGACACATAAAACAAAGTAGGCGTTCCCTACAAATTAGATGGTGAAGGGAAAGATGTTGCTATTTTGATGAAAATCATGTTTCAAAGTAAGAGGAAGCATCACTATGCATTTGTGGTTTGCACACTTTCCTCTCCACTAGGCAAGTCATTTTACAGCCACTGTGACTGAGATGAGTAGGGTGACAGCTCCAACGATTAATCACAACACAGCCCTCCCAATAACATTCCACTGCCCAGTCTTTCTCTGCAAACTGCACCGCAGAAGCAAATCATTTGGTTTGCAATGATTGGGTTAAATTACCATCATTTCTGACATTATATATGCAACATTTATAGCAGAGGAAATGTAACTTTTTAGAGAAACGTGACCAAAATCCATGAACGCAGACAAGGGTGGGGACATGTTTTTAGTATGCTGCTCTAACTCCGTCTCTGCTAATCTAACGCTAAAGCCAGTTACTTTGCCAGGTGTGAATTATGGCTTTCAATACTCCAGCTCATGCTTACAATAGTGTGGGAACAAAAACTATTCTTCCACTGGAGTTTAAAGATAAAAAATAAATAAAATTAAAAAAGTCTGCATTACACGGCTCCCTAGCAAAAACTCAATTTGCTGTGTCCTTAATGCCCTCCAGACTGCCTTAGTGAGAGGAGTGGAAAGATGTCGGGAAAGAAAGGGGGAAATACGAGTGGTGATAAAATGTCTTATTGGAACTATTACACACTGTTTTGGTTAGCAGTTTTCATCACCGAGCTTGAAGGCTCCATCCTGCTCTCTGGCAATTTCTCTGGCTCTGTCTGTGTCCTTCTATTACTTTTTCACTGCCATCCTTCTCTCCCTGTCAGCCACAGCTCTCCCTCTCTGCTCATCTTGCCCTTCCTCCATTGTTCTTCTCATTCAGCTCGTGTTTGTTGAGGAGCCAGTAAAAGTGCCACCAGCAGCTGTCCAAACACTGATGGCCCCCCCACTGTGCATGTCAAAGACCCTCCTATGTTCCCAGTTGATTTTACCCTAGCTTTTCCACTGCTGTCACCATAGCACCTAAATAAGAAAGGGCAGAAGAAGAAGGAAGGAAGCCAGTGGTGGAATATGTGTAGAAACAAAGAGAAAATGAGGGCTGGATCTGAGCAGGAACCTGAAGATGACAGAAAAATGCACTTGAAAGAGGGGTACAAGGATGGAAGAATTCACAGGAAATAAAAGGCATGAGAAAGGGCACGGGGGATAAAATGACAGGAATGAAGTGGTGTAGCAGAGGAAAACAGGAGTCAGTAAGAAAATGTTATATTTGTTAGTGAGTGGTAGCTCAAGACCAAAGCTGCCATCCTCAACCAAACAGCTGCCAACATGGTAAGTACAAACCGCTGAGGACGATGAGGCGCAATATGCTGAGTGTGCAGCTTGAACACCAGGCTTATGTTGACGGACTTCTCCGAATGAGAAGAGCTAGCTTGGTCTGCGATTCACATTTCTGAAAAAATTTTATCAAACACACGCCCTCTCATGAACAGGTGACATTCATGAGGTTGAATTAAGCAAACACTACACAGGTTTGCACAGTTAAAAGAGGGTTTAGTGAATCCAGCTCAGAACATCCAGCTCAGAACATTCCCGATACAACCTCACAGGAAAAAGTACAGTAAGACTGACGTAGAACAAGAGAGAACTCAGAGAGAGCAGACCACCAAGGCAGCACAACATAATGCCATTCCACCTAAAAGCAATATTCCCGTGACAGTTTGGCGCTTGTAATATGATTCATTGACCATGAAAACCTACTCCTGTCATTTGTAATCACATTGATATCAGACAGTTATCTGGCAAAAACTTTACCTCTGCATAGGCAGAGGTAATAGGAAAACATTCTTGCATAAGATTCAGCGCGTCTGTCTTCCATTACTTACTATCTCCTCTGAGCACTTACACAAGGTTACTTAGCATTAAAGCACATTCACAGATATATTGTTTCTCCACACACTGGGACACTGAGCTGAGCTGCAAGTGAAAATGATATTTTTACTACATGGATATGTTCAGACATAAACAATACTTGCTAAGTACTCACTTATATTTATTCACTACATCAACAGCTGAATTTAAAATACTTATCTAAGCCTACTATTGCACAAACTGTAGCAAATTGCTTTTGTGCTGTAAATTCTCTTGACCACCATAAATGAAAGCCATTTGACAACTGCATGGACAGCCTACATGTTTTAAGAATGCCTTGTCTGCCCGTCATTACTGATACAGATCATTTTCTGAGAAGTTCATGCTCATCCTCTCTGCCTCAGAGTACAGTACAGTTAAATGAACTGCTGCATGGGTGGGCTTTTAGGTCTGGAGGGTCAGCCACCCAATTAACCCCTTCTCAGTTGAGAGGAGAGGCAGGAAAGTGATGGGTTAGGTATTAACAGCTACCTGCAAGAAAAGCAGGCTCTCAGTGCAGCTGGAAGTGAGTGTCTTATCATTGTCTCCAGGACCCAGTTCTATCTAACTGTAACCGACAATTGTGGCAACTACAAGCTAGTAATTAGGGAGGCAGAATTAAAAGCTCACACAACAGCAACTATTCCAAGGCAACAAACAATTCTCAGTTATTGATTATTTGCACATACACATGTAATATACACTGGGGGGTACATCACAAAGCTAATGTCTGAATCTGTTTACTCATTTATTAAGGCTTTGCCATCATTTAATCAAGAACCACCAACTACATTTGCTTAAAAAAACAGTAAAAGAAGTTCTCAATGAGTTTCAAATAGACTTGAGCGTGAGGGAACATGTATTGTTTTACATATTTTTAGAGAACAAATAGTGTATATGTATGGACAGTGTGGATTTGAAAGTGGAGGAAAGGCGATATTGAACACTGCTTGAAATTAAAGTCTGCACCCAGGGGACTCCGACTGCTAAAAGTGAGCACAAGCAGCTTTGATCATTAAATGTGACAATTCCTGTTGCTGGCGCTAATGGAGTTACAGGTGCTCAAATCATATCTTATGGTCATGATTCGGATTCACAAATCTCAATCTGCTCTTGACTTGCAGACTGTGTCACACTCAGACTGTTTCAATTCTCTTGTGCTCAGTACACCTCCATACACATAATACATCCATAACAATATGCAAAGATCAAAGGCTGAATACAATCTAAGCATGCAAAAGGTATCATCTACAGAGGCTTCCGGCAAATGCAGTCGGTAACTTCGTATTAATTAATCCCCCAAGACATATTATATTAACATGTGGCCCTGCCTAATTTCGCTGTCTTGTTTTCTATTTATCAAGCATTAGTTGCTCTCAGCATCAATTACAGTAAGCCATTATCTTAGACACACAAAAGACCACTGCAGGCAAAGTTGAGCAAAGGACAATCTTCTTCCCAATAACATTAACCTTAAAGCACCCTACATACAGTAACTTCTGACAGGAAGGCAGACAGAGATTATGTGCCCTCAACGTGGCTGCTACAAAGTTGAAAGTCACTGTCCTCTACCAATTTATTATGAATGTACCAAATGTCTAAATATGACACACTACATAGCAATGCACTCTTCATCTTCATCATATTCTTTTCTTCCATAATGAAAATATATCCCTCAAGGGATTCAAAAGCAGGTCTGTCCTGATAGTTTAAGTATGAACGTGGTCCTTGTTGCTCCTGTCCAGTAGGGTTTTTATCCAAAGAACTTTATTTTTACCTAATAAATCAACAACAGTTTTCTCCTGTTCGTGTTGTATTAATTGAAAACCTGACCTAAAATAGATATAACCGTAACTGGATGATTGAAATAATTCAACATTCAAAGTGTTCCTATAGCACTGCAGACACTATTCAACAATCTTCAGTACAGAATATACTGTATGTGTGAGGCGCTTACCAGCAGGGGCATGGCCAGGTCAGCAATGTAAACAAAGGCCGCCCCAAGTGTGAATCCCACAGCCACAGGCACAAAAGCAAATGAGCCGTACTTCCCAGAATCCTCTGCCATTCCGATTGCTGGTGCAAGTAATGACCAGTATGAAGCAGCCAACATTACCTGAAAGAGGCAAGAAAGGGAGAGAAAAAGGGAAAAGTTAGATGCTTCAACTCAACTGTTGTCCAGTCTAAATGAGAAAGAACAGGTTGATAGGGGCAAACAATAGAACTTGTGAGCAGCATTACATTTTTTATTCAAGCCTGGATCTCATGTGCCTAAAAACACACACACTTTAAAAATAAATGTGCCAACTTAAAAGCATGAGATCATTGTTTCAAATGTCCCGTTCACTAGATCTGAAGAACCACTAGTATGAGGACGGGATCATGCAGTGAGTGTGTTCTCTCGGACTCAGAGATGCACAGTATCAGATGCAATGACCAGAACAAATGTAAAGCATGATAATCAATCAAAACACTGAAAAAAATTTTCAATCTAATAACTATTCAGCAACAACACTGCCGTCCTGGCGGACCTTGCCCTGCTGTGCTGCTCTGGAACTCCCTGATGTTGCCCTGTTCTCATCTTGTTCCAGTCAGTGCTGGGGGCTCATTATTACTTATTCATTCACACTTTCTAATATTGTCTGTCCACCTCACCTACTCATACATTAGCTATCTGTTTTTATAACATTTTTTTTAACTTCTTTTTCTACCTCCTCCCTCTTTTACAGTATCTCATAGTATATTCTTATTTGTAGACTGAACAGAGCCCACTGATGTTTCCCAAGGTTGCACGAGTGTATATACATGTGGATGTGTGTGCAAGTGTCTGGTCTATTCAGCACCCTGATAGGTAATTTGCCCTGAAACCAACTTTCGCTCCATTGCATAGTCTGTTTGCATTAGCTGTCAAAGTCCAACTAGAAATGAGAAGGTTTTGTATCTTTGAACAAACTAGTGTCTTTTTAAGCCGAGTGTATATACATAAAGTAGCTGCAGTTTCTGGTGTTCACCACTGGTTGAGTTCTCATAACTGCTTCCTGATCAGCAGTAAAAATGCAAAAACATCAACATATAGTCAGCCCTGCCAATCAAGAGGAATAGAAGTGTACTGTTAAGATGCAGTCAGTTTTAGCTCTTAAAAGGAATCTCTTGTACCATTAGCATCAAGGTTAGTCAGCTTTGTTAAGCAGGTGGAGGATAAACATGCTGAACTGACTTCACCACTAATTGGTTTGGCTCAAAAAGGAACCATGGGGAGCTGAAAACTTGTGAATTATAGCCAACTCCAACAGTTAAATACCTGTTTGATTTACAGTGAATTGTCACATCCTGGCTGCAATCAATTTCTCACCATGAGTTCAGAGGATAAATACAGCATGAAGCTTGCAGTGGTGTTGAACTGATCTGCATTTTACTGAAAAGTATTTACAATGTTTAGCCCACACCACTTATATGCATGAAAGTAAAGAACATTAAAAACACATTTAATAAAATGCTAACTCATACAACACCACCACTAACCCCTAAGATCTCCATATTAAACATATAGCCTAACTGAATTACAACATCATCTCTTGGAATGTTGTTTAAAAAAATGGCTATGATCCTCACAAAAGGTTCAGTGCATGGTAAAATGTGTAAGAGATAACATAAGATTAGAATATGCATAATAAAGTAGCAGTCCATGGCAGTACTGGTCAAGTGTAATTGTCCATTCCTATAAGAAACCATATACACAATACATATCCAAGCAAACTAAATCTCTAATACAAGGGAACCTAACACTGTGTTAGTGCAAGCTAATTCAAATAATTCACATTTCTAAAGAAAAAAAAAAAGATACAGACAAGTATCTCTGCAGATCTACATGGAGCATGTTGTTATGGATGGATTACAATGGTTTGCAAAAGAGCAGACACACACTTATCAACATTGTGCGGCCCCATCAATCAGAATGATGGCTTTAAATTCCTGTAGGGAGCCCGAGTCCAAAATGAAACGGTAAAGAGATGTTCATGAAGCAGCGCTTGAATTTCTCCTACTGATACCTGTGCATGTTCCAGCCCCAAAACCTTCAGCAGAGAGAAAAAAAACACAGTCTGTGAAACCTCTGGTTTGATTCATCTTACACTAATCTAATACAGAGGATTACTGAGGATTCCCATTAAGCGGTACATGTTAGTGGTTCAACATGCTTCCATGTTAACATGAAAACTTGTCAGAGGCTTTGCACCTACCTAGTCACGCCAGCACCACAAGAACAGTCTTGAGGGGGATTATTTTAATCTTCCACATCAGTTCTCTGTCAAATTCACTTTCCATCATCAATTAAAAATGAGGAGATTCTGTATTGAGAAGAATATCACGTACTTCTGTGCCAATTTATGTGAGGTGGGGAGTTGTCTGCATGTTAATTATCAGCAATGCAGAGCACACATAATATTAGAGGCAGCTTGTGTTAGAGCTGCCAAGCCTCAAGGTAAATGAAACAGACATTTAAATTATTTAAATGCACAAAATGTGACCTTGCATGTGTTGTGTGTGTGACAATTCATCTTTTAGGTCTCCTAGAGGATTGGTCAACCAATTAAATTCCAGGAATACTATTACTAACATCTCCTACATACACTATTTGCAATCCTACATAATGCATATGACATGAAAACCTGAAAAAAGAGTCATGTTTCCAGCTTTTAAAGTAGTAGTTTAACATTTTAAAAGTTAAGTGATGTCTGTACAGTAAATATGAAGCTACAGCCAGAAGGCAGCGAGAAATTGGGCTAGGCAATATGCTCCAAAATATTATCAAAATATTGTTTTGATATTTACTGATGTTGCTAATCATGGTTAAATATGTTTATTACCATTCATGAACAAGAAAACACATCAATGTGTTTATTAGACCTCAAAGAGACACACAGTGCTTTCTGTCGAAAATCACTAAATGTAAACATTGTTTACACAAAAGTCTACAGGGTACAGGGTTGCATTTCAAGAAATATATTCAATTTGGGACTGGATCAGACATAAATCACAAGGTTTGAGCCAGAGGAGATTTCGTTTGTTCGCGAGGGTGAAAAGGGCAGGAAGCAAGTCATTTTGAACGGACACGATGCAGGCCAGCTAAAGGCAGCGTGAGATTGTAAAATGAAAGTAGATTTAGAGAATCAGCTCATAGTTTCAGAGGGAACAGTGAGCACTAACCTAAGACCAGACCTTGTTTTTTTGGTCAGAAACACACAGGACAGTGTATTTTGTCTATCTTACAGTTCCCTGGGAGGACGCTGTAGATACAGCTTATGAGAGGAAGAAACTGAAATACACAGAATTAGCCATGGAGGCAGAGGAGTGCAGCTGGAAAGTTAAAGTCCACTTCATGGTGGTTGGTTGTAGGGTATTTGTAGCCTAGTCAGCTGTCTCTCTGCTTGGTGAGTTAGGTATAAAAGGGCAGAGCCTAAGACAGACAATCAGGAACCTAGCTGATAGTGCAGTAAGGTCCAGTGAGTGGCTCTGGAGCAGAAGAAAGATGTGTGAATGTGATAAAAATAGGCTTGAGGCCTACTTTCTGGTGTTAGTATGAGGAAATATTACAAGTTTCATTGGTTTTGTTGGAGTGAAAACCAACATGGTGGATTGTGTGCAGTGCAAAAGGAAGCAGAAGTTTGGCTAGTTATCTGGTGAGCTATCTGAAATGTTTGGTGAGTTATTTTAAATGTTTGGTGGCTAGAACAGCGGTTGAAATGTTTGCTACTGCTAGTGACTGTTTGCTAACAGTTAGCCTGAATTATTAAGAGAGTAGATGATGGGTGTGTGGGTGCAGGCAAAGAGGGGGGTGGTTCTAGGACACTGGAACACACTGTTGAACCTTCTCTGTGTTGTGGGCCCAACTCAATGAAACACCAGTTAGTGAGAGGGTGCACACCTGATGATCCTGTAGGCTTGCCTTCACTCCGACACCCACATAGTGTGTTGGTGAGGACTCACTGGGGTTTGTCAGTAGTGTATTCTTCTTTTGTTTGACAATCTTGGTAGAACAGTGTCAGTGGTTGGACAACTGAGTGGATCTGGCTCTCAGAGGTGACTGCCATCACAAGGGGCCGGCCACTGCCTAACCTGAGCAAATGCAATGCAGATGCTGTGTGTTAAGCTCTTTGCCTGGGTGGGGATAGGGTTCAGGGATGCTTTGTGTTAAGGGCAGGTTAGGTCTGGAAAATGGTGTTGCTTATTGTGGGGCTCAGAAGATTTATGATGGCATGGCCTGACACCCCCCTCTTTGGGGCAGAATAATTGGTAAACATCATTTAACTCATATACTGAGCTTCCATATGAATGCTCTCCCATTATTTGGCACATTTAATTGTGGTTTATTGACTATGGTTCTAAATGATCATTTATTTTTGAATCAATGATTTGATCCTCTCCACAGCCAACATGGTCTAACATTTATGCTTATTAAGCTCACGTAAGTCTTTTCTTGCGACTATGTTTTTGTCAGTAGTAGTGACGAAGTGTATAAAGCTGTTCCTCCAAATGTTCTCTGCATTCTGCATAAAGCTCCAGCAGGGCTGTTTCTGGAAAAACTTTGTTCTACGACTTTGTACCTTGGCACATTTTTATTAGCTTTTGCATCCCTTTTTTCCACTGTTGCAACGGCATCATATCTTTCACTATTCAATGTGCAACTGCATTCACTGTGTCCCTGACAAAAGAACAACATTTTGCTCTAAGGGCAATAGGAATGCTTTAAGCTAATAACAATACGGTTTTTTTTGTTTCAAGCCAACAGGGTTCAAAGCTGCAGGTAGGTAATTTCACATGCTGACAGCTCTAAATGGCAGCAAGAGAGAACAATATGAAATATTTTCAACATCCATACCCAGAATATATTAACATAACATCACTTAACCTTGCACAGAACACTCATAACAGCTCGACTGATCAGTGACACCAGAGGACAAAAGAAACAAGGAATTTAATTGTGCTGAGCCCAGCTTTCTAACACTTGCTGGCTGCCATTCAAAAGACAGTTTTTCAGGAATAGGTACAGATGCTGATAGAAGACAATCTGAGGATTTCAGTTCTTATTCAGTCCGCATGAGACACAACAATGGAAAA